ATGAACTTTAACCTTGGCCCATCTTTAAAATAATATTTGCTTGCCCTCTCACGACTCTGTGTAAAATTATTGGGTCAGTAGGTAGGTGGGACAATATTTTTTTACAGAAAGTTTCGACATTTGGTGATAGAATAAGAAAAATATCGTGTACTAGAATGTAAAATAAGTTTTGAGGCGAGCCAGTCTTAGTGAGTCGGTCAGGAGAGGGCAACCAAACAATCTTTTAAAGATGACCTTGGTCATAAGTTTTTATATAATATAGGCGTGTTACTTGTGACAAGATCATTCCTACTGTTCTGAACTTTGAAATTTTGTCCGTAGAATTTTACCCAATTGAATTTTTTTTCTCGGCCATTACTTTTGAAAGATTTGAGCCAGTGCTTTTAAATATACAGGTGTATATTCCTTTAGCTTTGACAAGATCTTTCCTCATAGAACCAGCTGTTTTGACCCTTCAGTCGTGACTTTGGAATGTGACGTCGACCTTCCTTTGAAAAAAATGACCTTGGCCATAACTGCTAACACTTTGTGCTAGGGCTTTCAATTTTTACGTGAAAATTCTTTTTGACCAGAGCGTCTGGTAACCATTTTGATCCATAGATGTTGAAGTTTGACCAACTTCTAATATGCTTTAACATTTGCTAAAACTCTTGAACTGGTCCTAAAGGTTAAAGTTTTTTTATTTCACATGTGTATCATTTGTGACATCCGGTCACATCCGGTAAAGAAATAAGGATTTTTTCCAGGCCTTTTAGAACAATACTTAGGATTAACAGTTTCAAACCCTTGGAAACCCAAAATATTGTTAAAATTTTATTAAAAATGGAAAATTTTGAATTCTGTTAAGAGGGCTAAAAAGCAACTTCCGGTAATGGAAAGAAATTCATTCAACCGTTAATGGTTAAATAACTGATTTGGCAAAGTAAAAGATGTCCTAACTTTTTTGGTACATAATTATAAGCTGTATATAATTTTCACCCTAAAATTAGGGTGTTGCGTTTCTGTTGACGGTGAGTATATACGGATTTATGAGGGATGGTATGCGGTATTCATTGTTGGGGTGAAGAAACTTGGACTGTGTCCGGGAAACAACAGAAACGTTTGTTAGGGACCTAGTTCCCTATTGTCTTTGTGACAAGGCATACATAGTGTCTCCGTAACATTATCTTGTGTCCGTAACCAAAAGTAAAACAGAGTCTTGGTGACTAGGTATGTAGTGTTTTGGTAGTTTTAGCTTGTGTCTCTGTGACCTCAAGGTATTCTAATGAAACAATGTTACAGAATATTAGTTTTCAAGAACCACTTAGTCTGCAGCTTCAAGAATAAAGTAGTTAGGTTAGTATCTTTTGATATAATCGAAAATTCGTGGACATTTAGTCAATGCTCTGCTCTGATTTGTCTTTTTGTATGTTTGTCCACAGAAACTTTAATGGTTTTTACTTTCTTCATTTTCATGTGAATTCCTTTTGACAAAACATTTCCTGGGGTATTAAAATTTTTTCCTCTCGAATTTAAGCTAGGAATTTAATCCACATTTAGAAAATTTTACCAAGTTTTATCTCGTTAGAAAACAGTGTATTATAACTAATGCAAGGCACATGGATTTCATACTTGACATGTACAATCCTTGAGGCACGGCCCTCTGCTTGGTACCATCAATTTTGACATTGACCTTATGAATCTGACATCATACATCTGAAGAACTTAAACCTTTGCTACAACTTTTGAAAGAAAATAGCTAGGACTTGCACATAGCTAAGAAATTTCACAAGTTTATTCATTGGTAAAAGAGCTTTCCTATGGTACCAACAATTTTGACCCTGACAATATAGTTTTTTCAAACGTTTGAAAAAAAAAAATTAATTCCTGTCTCAAAAATGTTAAATGGTTTGGGCTTAGACTTTACATTTGACTTGTACAATCCTTATGAGCTTTGACAAGATCTTCCTTTGGGTGCCATTAATTTTGACCCCTTGGTCTAAATCTTGGAGTTTGGCCTACTTTTGAAAATCCTTTATCTTGGCCATATATATTGATATCTATCGATGCTAGGGCTTTCATATTTCACATGTATATTCTATGTGACAAGATCTTTCTTTGTGTACCAACAATTTGATCTCGATCTTGGAGTCTAACATGCATGTGAGAACCTTTGATTTTTGCCATAGGCTGTCATACATACGGGGCCATTAGTATTTAAACAAGATTTGTTTGTGAAACACCAATGCCTCTGTATATGACAGCTTTTGGCGGAGGCTGAAGTTTCTCAAATGCAAGAGGCAAACTCAAAAGTGAAGGGATGAAAAATTTGTTCCCCGAAGAAAGGACTTGATCTCAACAAATATACCTGCGAAGTATGAAAGCCCAAGCACTTAGCATTAAATAGCTATGGAAAAGGACTGTTTTTTTTTTTTTTTTTTTTTTTTTGTAAATTTGGTCAAACAAGGTCAATGTCAAAGGGTAAAATAATGGTAATCAAAGGATAGCTTTGTCACCTAGAATACATCTCTGAAATATGAAGGCCTTAGTACTAGCTGTTCAAAAGGTTTGTTCAATACAGTACAGGTGGTTTTAAGTTTAAAGGTGGGTAAAACGTCAAGGTCAATCGTTCAACAGTTACGACCAAAGTTAAACTTGGGTAAATTCTGGTGAAAAAGTCAAATATGCTAGTACCCAAAGAAATGCTTGTCACAAAGAATAAACTTAAAGATGAGAACCATCGATGATCGGTTCAACCAATTGACAGCTATAGGCGATAATTAAGGACAACAAGCAAATTCAAAGAATTGTGGTCCCCCGCTTTCGGTATCTTTGTGGGCAAGATATCATTTTTAGGGTCAAGGTCAATAGGTCAAATTTTTTGGTATCCCATGAAAGGTCTTGCCAAAAAGAATACATATATTTAAAATATGAAAGTCCTAGTTTCTACCGTTCAAAAGTTGTGACCAAGGTTAACATTTTTACAAAGAACTTAAAACTCCAAGGTCAAGGTCAAAGGGTCAAAGTTCTTGGCATGCAATGAAAGGTCATCTCACAAGGATTACATACGTGAAGTACGAAAGCCCTATCCCTTACCGTTTAAAAGTTATGGTCAAGGTTAAAGTTTTTTTTCAGAAGTACGTAAATCTCCAAGGTCAAGGTCCAAAGGTCAACGTTTTTGGTATCCAATGAAAGGTGTTTCCTCAAAGAATAATTGTGTGAAATATAAAAGTCCTTGTATTTACCGTTCAAAAGTTGTGACCAAGGTTATTATTTTTAAAAAGTAGTTAAAACTCCAAGGTCAAGGTCAAAAGGTCAAAGTTCTTGGTATCCAATGAAAGGTTATCTTACAAGAATAACATATGTGAAGTATAAAAGCCGTAGCCCTTACCGTTCAAAAATTATGGTCAAGGATATAGTTTTTTCATAAGTACGTAAATTTCCAAGGTCAAGATCAAAAGGTCAAAGTTGTTGGTATTCCTTGAAAGGTCTTGTCACAAAAAATAAATATGTGAAATATGAAAGTCCTAGTACCTACCATTCAAAAGTTATGGCCAAAGTAAAAGTTTGGAATTTTTTAGTAAAAGTAGTTGAAACTCCAAGGTCAAGGTCAAGAGGTCAAATTTGGTGGTATCCAAAGAAAGGTCTTATCACAAGGAATACACATATGAAATATGAAAATCATAGCTCCACTAAATCAAAAGTTATGGGCAAGGTTAAAGTTTTTGTGACGGACGGACAGACTGACGGACCGACGGACAGACAGACGGACCGACGGACAGACGAATGAGATTTAATGTCCCCTCGCTTTCGCGAAAGCGGGGGACAAAAAGATAAACAGACAGACCAACGGAAGGACGGGGCATAAAACACATCGTTATAATTTGTTATTGCTTTGTTTGAGAGTCATTATCCAGATAGGGCGTAAGAAAAGATATACAGTACCTGGCCATAAGTGAGTCATAATTGCATTTTTATGCTATATATTTCACTGAAAACCCTATTTTTATAAAAACTGGTTGTGAAGTCAATTTTAGCTCAATTTTCATGATTTTTTCCACTGAAACATGCAGAATTATTCAAATTTTCTTATCTTAAATGATAAACAAAATGAAACTTAAACCATTGAAAATAAATTATAAAATATTGTCAAGACAAAATTTTCTAACCTCAAATTACTATGATTTCTTAACAAATCGAAGTCTTAAAATTTTTGTTTGCACTTGACCTGTGATTTCACACTAATGCATAAAGATAAAACTATTTTGAAAAAATGTGAAGAAACTACATCAAATTCTGCATTTTATGGTGTTTTAGACATTAAAAAGAAACAACAAATGACACTGCTATAATATTTTAGAAAAATGCGTTTTTCAATAAAATATATAGTGGAAAAATAAAATTATGACTCACTTATGGCCAAGTACTGTACATGTACATTACATATTTTGGTCAAATGTGTCACTGTACAGTTATTCAAGATTGTTTTGGAACAATATAAGCATGATTTTTAGGAAGGAAACCTTTTCTTTTTTCACAGGGGTTTTCATTGTGACAAGACTACCTTTGGGCACCGATATTTTTGATCTCTTGACTTTGAAGTTTGACTTGCATTTAAGAGAACTGTTACCTTCGTCATAAGCATAAATACAGGGGCATCGATGTTTCACAAATATATCTCGTGTAATATATTTTTCGTTTTCACACCTCCATCCATTTTTTCGGGTCTATCAGAAAAATATATGCTGCAAATATTGATTTCTGAAAGTGAAATTCTTTAGATTTTCCAAAAACAGGCTTAATATCTTTATTTACTTCGTATATACCAAGGCAAGTGATTCAAAAATTACGAAAATTGGCAAGGTCGGTTGAAATGACGCAGTTGTTTTGGAGAAGACGAAATTGTAAAAAGTTTACGAGGAAGGTGACAGCAATGAAGACAGACAACGGACAAATTTTGATTAGAAAAATCTCTGTTAAACCTTCGGCTCACTTGATCTAATAAAAAGGCAAACAGGAGAAAATAAAGACACGTTTATTCCTTTACAACACCATTACAAAATGATACAATATTTTCCTGGTAAAAAAAAATTAAAAATGGTCGTATGAATTTCGAAAAACTTTAAATTTTTATCTTGTGAAAAATTTCTGAATACTTTGCAGGAAAGGGATACGTAAGTGAATAAATGTTGTAATACAACATGTTATACACATTATAACAAAATGAAATGAAATCGGAATACTGAACAGTTTTTCTTTTAAAGAATGCACTACATGTATTTGATGACACAGTGGTCAGTATTTCGATTCCATTTCAGAAAAAAACACTTTTAAACACAAAATCTATTATTCTCATTTACATTCAGTTTGTGTGATATCACCAAAGCCACCTACTCCACATGTACAAGTACATCATACACACACGCACATACTGTTTAATGTTACAAATATTATACATTGTATTGTTCTTTACATGCAATATTTATCTAATTCTTGATTATAATCAGTGTTTAATTTGTTTATCAAATAAAGCTTTTGTTTACAGCCATTATGAAAGTTCATAGCCATCATGAGATGTACATTTTTTTTAAATTTCATATTTATCATAAAGGGGCATTGAATATCATTAAGAAACAAATGGATAGATTTTCTTTTCCCTTATAAAGAGAGTACAACTCTAATGTAAAAACGATCACCTACTGGTCATAATTTAACTCGACCTCAATTAACAATTGCCATATTTCAGTTCCCTAATACTGCAAACAAAATTCCAGTAACATGTTGGTAATTTTCACATTGGTGTTAAAAGGTTAACCGTCACGTGATGTATGTGTCACATGATCACTAACTTCCTCCCCCTCCTCCTCCGCCGCCCCCACCCTGACCTTGTTCTCCACCTCCTGACAACATCATCACCAGGACGATCGGGACAATGTACATCCACTGAAATGTAAAACACATGATTAATACATGTAGTCATGACTTCCAAACAGAATTTAGGCGTCTGAACGCTTCAACACTGAACGCATAACTGACCCCTTAATCGGAAAGTGATAATGCCTTTGTCTTTGGATTCGCCCCTTTTTAAATTCGACCATTTGCGAAACAGGCGAAATTTAAAACGGGGACGAAATTTTGCCTATTTACAGTAATTGCATATAGTTAAGGGTAACATTGAAAATTTTGAGCCTATGGAAATCATTGTCAGCCTTGGTTGACTGTGCCGAAACTGACAGTGTTTTATTTTTGGGTTAGTATGTTCAATGCTATTCTTAACTGTTTACGTTTACGGACTCTCTGTTGTGAATATGGTTTCATATTCACCATAAAAATATTAATATTGACCGAAGCAAGGTATAGGATAATATTTTTCAGGTGAATATCAAACAATACTGACCACCAAAAGAGTCATTAATCGTTTTATTATACAGTCCGCATTCAAATAAATAAGACATTGAAGGCTGCAAGACGATCCAATTATCTTAAACACAAACTGTTGTCAAAGAAATATTTTAATGTCCAGAGGAAATACTTAGAAAAAGTGTTTTATGTTTAAAATGCAATTACCGGTATACACTGTAAACAAGAGGCCCATGGGCCACATCGCTCACCTGAGCACTAAGGGTAGGAAAAAGTAGAAAATGGCTTTTTATTGTAAAGTTTAAATCCAAAAGTAGTCCCATGACCAATCATGGATTTGCTATTTTTTAGAAAATGATTTTTTAAGAATTTTCCTAAATATATCTTTAAAAACTTTGGTTGGCCATTTTGGCCCCGCCCTACCCCTGGGGGTCATGATTTGAACAAATTTGAATCTACAATACTTGAGCATGCTTCCATATAAATATGATGAATTATGGCTTTGTCATTCTTGAGAAAAAGATGTTTAAAGAATTTTTCTATATATTTCTATGTAAAACTTTGGTCGGCCATTTTGGTCCGCTCTACCCCCGGGGGTCATGATTTGAACAAACTTTAATCTACACTACCTGAGCATGCTTCCATATAAATATAATGAATTATGGCTTTCTCATTCTTGAGAGGAAGATTTTTAAAGAATTTTCCTATATATTCCTATGTAAAACTTTGGTCGGCCATTTTGGCCCCGCCCTACCCCGGGGGGTCATGATTTGAACAAACTTGAAACTACACTACCTGAGCATGCTTCCATATATATATGATGAATTATGGCTTTGTCATTCATGAGAAGAAGATTTTTAAAGAATTTTCCTATATATTTCTATGTAAAAATTTGGTCGGCCATTTTGGCCCCGCATTACCCCCGAGGGTCATGATTTGAACAAACTTGAATCTACACTACCTGAGCATGCTTCCATATAAATATGATAAATTATGGCTTTGTCATTCTTGAGAAGATGTTTAAAGAATTTTCCTATATATTTCTATGTAAAACTTTGGTCGGCCATTTTGGCCCCGCCCTACCCCGGGGGGACATGATTTGAACAAACTTGAATCTACACTACCTGAACATGCTCCCATATAAATATGATGAATTATGGCTTTGTCATTCTTGAGAAGAAGATTTTTAAAGAATTTTCCTATATATTTCTATGTAAAACTTTGGTCGGCCATTTTGGCCCCGCCCTACCCCCGGGGGTCGTGATTTGAACAAACTTGAATCTACACTACCTGAGCATGCTCCCATATAAATACATGTATTATGAATTATGGCTTTGTCATTCTTGAGAAGAAGATTTTTAAAGAATTTTCCTATATATTTCTATGTAAAACTTTGGTCGGCCATTTTGGCCCCGTCCTACCCCCGGGGGTCATGATTTGAACAAATTTGAATCTACACTACCTGAGGATGTTTCCCCATAAGTTTCATCTTTCCTGGCACAGTGGTTCTTGAGAAGAAGATTTTTAAAATATGCCACCTAATTTTCATTAATTCCCAATGATCTCCCCTTGAATGAGGGCGTGGCCCTTCATTTGAACAAACTTGAATCCCCTTCACCAAAGGATACTTTGTGGCAAGTTTGGTTGAAATTGGCCCAGCGGTTCTTGAGAAGAAGTCGAAAATGTGAAAAGTTTACAGACAGACAGACGGACAGACGGACGCTGGACAAAATGTGATCAGAAAAGCTCACTTGAGCCTTCGGCTCAGGTGAGCTAAAAAGGTCGGATGTCGAAGGTCGTTCACCGTAATGCCAAAAGAAGAGTATATGTTGATTCCATTTTTTTGTAGTGATACGAGTAATTAATTAAGCTTTGTCTGTAGATATTTAATATATATTCTTGACAAAAAGTATCTGACTTTTGATAGCAAGGTCTGGCCCTCTTAAATGCGTAATACTAGCAATGTATATGCAATTTTCAAAATGTTTATAGTACTAGAAGACTGTATTGTGGTGTCTTCTAGCCTTGTCGCATATGCATATACGCAGTTTTTCCTTGAATTGTTGACAGGATATTACAACCCAGGGAATTAGATATAAAATATTTTCATTAATAAACAGACAGGATATTACACAACAAGATTTTTTATGGGGTTTTTGTACGTTTGTTTTTTTCATAAATGGACTCCATTGATACACGTTACATGTAAACTAAACATATTCTGATTCAAATTTAAAGTCGAAATGATTATAAATCACTTATAAATCTGATTAATCAGTATTAAAGGTGCTTGGACACAGATTTGAAGTATTTTTTTTTTTAAACTTTTGGTATCATATCATGACATATGTTTATAAAGCATTTCACATGGAAATATCATTAAAAAACTTATTTTATCTGGAAATTATTGAAACCAAGAATTTCGGGACGCCTTTGATTGACACATCTTTGCACTTTCACAAAGTTAACTTTATTCTTAATACTTGAGAGAAGTAGAAATTCAGTTGTGTATTAATGAAAAATATTTGACTATAATCCAGAAAATATACTAGTAGAGTAGAAATGTGAGAAAGCAAAACCAGCTCCCCAGTATTGTCAGTCTGTGCTCGGTGAAGTGTGCAGAGTTCAGCAAATTGAACACACCCATGAAAGTAAACTGTGTTTATGTTCAACGGACTGACAACACTGGTGAGTTGATTTTTCACATTTCTACTCTGAGTTTTCCGGATCATAGTTAAAATATATTTCATTAATATGCACAACAAAATTTCTTCTTTTCTTGAGTAATAAGGATAAAGTTTGCTTTGTAAAATTGCATGGATGTATCAATCAAACGCGTCCCGAAATTCGTAGTTTCAATAATCTCCAGAAAAATAAGTTTTTTAAATATTATATTTCAGCTTTAAGTGCAATTTAATCATATAAGTCATGATATTTAACCGAAAATTTAAAAAACATTCACCTCAAATCTGTGTCCAAGACCCTTTAAAGAAAAAAAGTTACGACTAGCTCTACGCTGTAAAATTTTAATGAAGGTTATCAGAACCATTAATTAAGAATAAGATATTAATGTTTGCTAGCAAAACAGAAATAACGTTGAAAAATAAAGGACTAAACCCTCCTTACATCTACAATTAGATGACATAACACGTGATACTTACTGACAATAACCAACAAACACTCAAAAACATATTAATCTTAGTTCAATTTTTTTCTGCGTTTCGAGTGTTATCGTATTCTTGTCGTAATTATACCCAATGTAAACGGAAGCTGACATGGTAAAATATATTTATTTCTTAATTAAAGTGCAGATTTCCAGTTGATTATTATTGAGGCATGGAAGAATATATTTAAATACACGTTTCAGATGGAAATTACTTTATATGCATGTTTATCATGCCATATTGTGTTTCTTACAAGAACTGTTGAAGGATTGATTAAGAAATATAAATTGGAAAAGCCTAGGCGATGGCAAGTATTTTTTATTACTAGTATTACAAACTTGAGGATTTAAGAGTTACAAATTACGTAATACAGGATGAAACTGCAGGTGACTGAAAGTCTACTGAAAATTGTCTGAATGGCATGTAACTTTTCTAAGTCATTATTCAGTTGACTGAATGGTGGAGGTTCATCCTGTGTAATTTAACAAAAAACACTTTTCGAAGGAAATCATCTAGAGGGGTGATAAATCCATAATAATATCGTACCCTGACCAACAGCTGTGGTGGCCGAACAGGTAAAAGAATGACCCCATATAGATCTAATTAACAAACTGATTTCAGGTACACCCGTACAAGACCTAAAACGAAGTTGAAGAAATTGATCTGATTAAGAGTGTGGGGTAGGGTAGTCTTGCTAATACATGTACATAAAATTATATAATTCTTGCTAGAATAGAAAAAAAAAATAAATGCATTGCCAACATGTTCATTGAAAATAGAAGTTATCGATACGTAACAACTAGAAGTGGTCTCTATTTCTTCAATCTAGAAGATTTTAGGACCTGAGACCAAGGCGCAACTTGCGATATTGTATTACGATGCAACGTAAGGCCTTTATCTAAGACAATGTGTTGGAACTAGACATCTCTCTTCATATCTGGATCGAAAAAAAATACAAGGAAAGGGATTGTCGCATGGAATATGCCTGTGACATATGAAAGCCCTAGCACCAACCATTCAAACTTTATGACAAAATTATTTTTAATTTTTTATAGGTCAAACTCAAAGATATATATGCCGTATTAGTGTTTTATTTTTAAAGTAATAAATATACGTGGTATCTCATCAAGTTATATAAGTTATATACTTTCTGCAAATAAGACAATCCCACTCCATCACTTCAAAAAGTTATGAAATATTATTTGGTAAAAATTATTTTCTCTCCGAGTCGGATGTTAAACCGCCTCTTATTGAAATATTCATCCTCAAAGCAAACAATGGTCCAATCTCGTGAATGAGCCGAAAAGCATGATGGTCTACTACATGTTTATTTTTACTACAAACACGTGGGTTAGGGAAGTTTAGGATGCGATTTCAAATGACTGCTGGAAAGCCAATTTTCAATTTTTTGAAACGTGTTTGAGAAAAATACGAAGAATAGATACTAATTAAGAATTCCCATGCTCAGATTAACAAACTTATCATACTTCAGAAATTTTTGTTTGGTTTCAGCTGTGCAGAAATACTGTTTAACACGGCATACATATCAAATTTAAAGTCAAAGGATAAAAAATACTTTAATTCAAGGGAAGGCTTAAGCACAAGAAATGCAAGTTTGAAGTTTGAAAGCCCTAGCATCCATCGTTCAAACGTTATGACCAACGTTAAATGTGATAAAATTTTGCAAAAGGTTAAAAATCAAGGTCAAAAGGACAAATATGTTGGTATCCATAGTACTGAGTATTTTCAAGAGAAATACACATGTGAATTATGAAAGCTATATCTCTAAAGAATCAAAGTTTTGGGCAGGGTTAAAAAAAATTGCGGAAAAACAAACGGATAGTTAGAAAAAAAAACTATAAGTCAACGAATCTTCGATTCCTGGGGCATAAAAAATCCTCACCTAATTCACTTCCCTAAAGGTTTATGCTTAATTTGAAAAGATGATGTATGGGCAATTATGATCGCTCAACAATCTTTCTCAAACTGTAAAATAAAATGTATATGCATATCATGCATATCTGTAACCTACTCATGTGGTGTATCTACTAATATAAGAAAGACGATGTTTGAATCCGATTAGAACTGTACACAGTCAGCGTCAGGGACATATTTATTCAAGGACACAACAGCTCACGCATTCTACCAGCTGACTCGGATTGAGACGAGAATTCCCCGACATTCTTATTTCTTTCACGTATCTCCGGAAAAACAAGTTATAGTTGCAACAAAATACTCGATGTATTTATTTTATTTACTTCAAAATAAAAAAAATTCAAATGTTAAATTCTAAAACAGAATACTATTTTGTTCTTATTTACTTCATTTCAGTGCTATCATCGTTCTGTATTCAAGGCTTTTAAAATATAATGTGTAAAGTTGGTTAATCAAAAGGGCATAATTAAACTTTTAACAGTATTAAGAGTTTTTTTCTTCTTCATGAATTCGATATTAGATGTACCCTCATTGAATCGATTATACCACAACAAGGGAAACGTTCCAGAATCAGCAGGAAGACATCTATTTCGTAAAATCAATAGGTTTGACAGACCTATGACTTTCTTCTCCTGTAAATATCATTAACCGTGGAGGTACAAGCAAGACTAACACAACATAATGGCTAATCTTGCAGTAAAGGTAGGAGTCTTACCTAGTCTTGTAGACTTTTTATGATCAATCAACGCAGACAATCACAATTTTTATGCATACAGTGGCTGCTGAATTCTCCGAAGAGGTTTTGTAACAATTGCTTGCAAAGACTATCATCATAAAATATATTTAAAGTATTATTATTTTTTTAAGATTTCAAGGAATTAAATTTGCTTTATTCCCAAAATTTGACTTGTTGGAAATTTAAAAGGATGCATGATTCCTCGGGGCTTCACATTGCTTTTGGAATTCTCTCTGCAGATGACTCCTTATGCGAAACTGTTCAAAACAGAAGTGATTTGCACGTGATAACGAATGAGGCACTGGATATAGTTTGGCGGATTTTTGTGTTTGGATTGATCCCTATTTTTTCAATTTTTGGATTTGTAGGAAACATCTTTAGTCTTATAGTACTGTATCACAATCGAATGAGAAACCCGACCAACTTTTGTCTGTCGGCTTTAGCTCTTGCTGATCTTGGATTTCTTGCCCAGAGTCTACTTTTCGTTGGGACCAACATTCAGCGTGAGCTAGACCCAGCCCTCGGTGAAGAAAGAAGTCAGATGTTGTATCCATGGTTTGGAGCTTACGCCAGCTTAGTGGCAGCCAGAATTTCCTCGTGTCTGATCCTTCTTTTAACCATAGAAAGATTCATCGCCGTTTGTTTCCCAATACGTGCTAAACTGATTTGTAACACACGCTGCACACTAGCGAGCCTGATTGCAATTTGTTTGGTGACGTCTATAGTTTTTCTTCCCTATGCATTTAAATATAAAATCATTCACGATCACAAGAATACAACCCAAACCACTCTGACAGGAATGTATCTTACGCTTTCAAAACTCGGGAAAAATAAAGTTTTCTTCGAAGTGTATGGAATTATTTTAAATATTGTGTACAGATTTGTTCCAATAATACTAGTATTAGTTCTAAACACTAGGATTATCATAATCACACGAAAAACCTGTTCAACTCGTAAACTCATGGGAACTCTCGACGCGAAAATTTATTCTAATGAACAAACTCGGATTACCTTGATGCTGGTGACGATATCGCTTTTATTTGTGCTATGTACGCTGCCAGGGGCAATGCAAAGTATTTTGTCCCATTATGCAGACGGGTATACTATGACCGGAAAATATCGGTATGCCTTTCAATGTTTCAGCTATGTTGCATATTTTCTTGAGACCGTTAATTGTTCAGTTAACTTTTTTATATACATGGTAATGAGTAAAAAATTCCACAAGACATATAAAGAAATGTTTTGTTGTCTGCAAAAAGAGATGCATTACCAAGTGCCATGTAATTCTAAGGAATCTATACGTGGTATACAAAGAAGCGAAAGTAGGCTTCTCCATAGTAGCATGAAAGGATCAACTTGAAATATAAATTTCAAATGTGCTGGTCATTTACAAGGAAATTGCATTTAGTCTGATTTCAAAGTTACAAAGAGCCGCAAATCGTTGATTCCTGCATAGTTTATGCCGTTTGGGAAAAAATAACACTAAGTTAATTTTTATTATCGTTTGGTAGAAATTGATTGTTCATTTTATGAGAATTTTATTTTTATGACTGCCTCCCACATGCTGTATTATAAGAATATTGAACTCAAGAGCAATCTCAATCACTTGCAATCTGACAATGGAAATAACATTATATACATTGTACACCGCTGATTTATTGAATGATGAATAAAGTTTATATTGGTATTATTTTTTAGATCCCTTGTTTATGTCTGTTGTTTTTCAGTATTATTGAATGAGAAGAGCATTTAACCCAATGTATCTACATAATTATACTTTATAAACAATTTTATATTTATTAGTCAATTGATGGCATTATTTACAGAGTTTCTCCATTGATCATATTTAAACCAAGTACAGTCAGTCAACTGATCTTTGTCTGATCTCTTTCTGATCTCTGTCTGATCTCTCTCTGCTTTGTCATAATCTTGTTCACTATGCAGGAGACACTTGCTCAATGGCAGTCAAACTGTTGACATTGATCATACTGCTCTTTCAATAAAGTTTTAATAAAAAACATAATTATATTAAAATAGGCCTAAAGAATGTCTAGTTTATGGTTTCTGAACCAGTTGCAGTTTTTTCAAAGATGAAATAAAAGAATCTCATTCCAGAATGCATTCATTCATCATTGAATTTGAAATCTAAGCTAGCTGCAGAACTGTAGCTCTCTGCTTGGAAAATTTGGACAGATAAAGCAGAGAGCTACAGATCCATGCATTCATTGTAAAACCTTTGATTTACACATCCAATTTTTTTCGTCTCTCTTCAGCAATTATTTCGTGTAGTTTATGCTTTTTTTACGCTCTTAGAGTGGTATCCAATCATTAATCATATATTTTACTTTAATAACTGATACTTTATTTACCTTTCAACGGTCCGAAACAGTCCTCTGAGGATTAGAAATATCAGTTTAAAAGATTCCCATTTTTGCATCCACTTCCTCAAATGGCCCTTCTTGAACCATTGAAAGGTAAATAAACATTTAGGAATAGGAGTTAAATGTATGGTTAATTATCGGATATCATTTATAAAGCTGGGAAAAATATAGAATATGAGAAATAATACCTGAAGTGAGCGACAAACAATCGGTGGCGTAAATCGAAGAATTTTACAATGCATGGACCTGTAGCTCTCTGCTTTATCTGTTCGAATTTTCTCAAGCAGAGAGCTACAGTTCTGTAGCTAAGTTTAAGCTTTGCATTTGATTTTACAACCCCACCATTTTATACCAAACTAAGAACAAAGTAAACCTTGTCAAATCCAGACACCACTAGTTTAAAAGAAATGGATTACACACAAGTCCAGATCAGACAACAATTAACAGGACTGATTTATTTAACTAAAAGGAGCAGAAAGTTTTGATTAGAATCAACAAGATTTCAGTATACATAACATAGGATTAGACAAGTTTTACTGTAGTTTACATGGAATAATAGTGCAATTTTGCAAACAAAGTTGTTCATTCAGTGATATACAAAGGTTTACATGAAAAGAAAAGTTTATGTCCACCATTAAGCATTACAAATACTATAATAGACATTATAAATCTGCCTTAGCTAAACATTATTAATCCTTGTTTGGAGATTACAAATCCTAGTCATTACACTAAGGATCCTGAATTCTTGAGTAGATATTACAATTAAATCCTTGAATTATGAATCCTTTACTAGATATAACGAATCTCTGAATAGACATTATTTATCCTGCACTAGACATATTAAGTGATCCTTGAATAAAAATTAGGAATTGCTGGCATGACAAATTAGACATATGACATGACATAAGCTTTTAATACACATTGTGAATCTATGACTAGATATGATGATTCATGATGATATACATAATGAAACTTTGACTAGATACTTTCTAAGATACTTTTTAAGACAATATATAATTCCTTGAGTAGATGTTCCAATTTCTTGACTAGACACAATGAATCATTGACTAGATATGATGATTCCTTATCTATACATTATGAAACCTAGTTTGACTAAATACTATGAATCCTTTTTACAACCTTTTGATTTCTGGAGTAGGTGTTCTGATTCCTTGACTAGACATAATGAATCATTGACTACATATGATACCTTTACAAGATCTTATGATTCCTTTACTGGACATAAAGATTCCTTGACTAGACATAATGAATGCCTGACTAAATATTATGGTTCTTTTTCTAGATATAATGAACTTTTGACTAGATATGTCATTTATTAAACACTTTGTTTCCTTGAATAGGTGTTCCGATTCTTCTACGAGACATAATGAATCCCTGAAAGGTTATTTTGATTCCTTATGATACACTATGATTACTTGACTAGATTTCAAGAATCCTTTATACGTCAGTATAAAATCCTTGACTAGGCATTAAACATTCTCAACATTATGAATCTCATAACAGACGTGACAATTATTGACCATATGCATCCCAGACAAAATATGGTGATTCCTTGATCTTCAACTAGACATTATGAATCCTTAACTAATATCATCTTTAAGTAAATATTACACTTGTCATCGTCAACCTGTCATTAAAATCTTTGAACAGAGATTTAAACTCTTAGGTAGATATCATGATTCCCCAATAAAATTGAAAGTTGTTTCTTCCTTGTCAATATAAAATTTGAAAAAGTTATGATAAACATAGCTTGATATAATCATATCACAATGGATACATACCGACAAAGATACAGATAGAAAAAGTAATATGATCTAAAATTCATAGGTGTCTTTCTCTTATATTTTAGTACATTTAACTCTGTTACCCAATATCAAAATGTACTGGTGAAAACTGTTTGAATTATTGTTGATGGACAGTGTGATTCCTCTAGAGTGCCAGCATTATATGCTGTCTGAGCCTTACTCCATTAGATAATTGATCATTTTATTAAAATCAAAAAGCTCACATCAAGACCAAGGACCTTTGAAAAACAGCATGCACAAGGTAAGCCATAAAAGTACTTAATCTGCATCAAGTGACAAACAGTCTTAGCAAAATACTGATTTATAAATCTCATATATTCAATTGCATTTATTCCCTTGTATGCTAGCTGGTATTGAATTTCTCTGTGTAGAAAAAAAAACTTCAGAAATTACGCATAAAGTTCTCTTGTATAAATTGTGATTTACAGTATAATCCTTGTCAATACCTCATTATAATAATATCTTAAATTCTCATTATCTGTGTATTTACTGTCAATGACATTAAACCAACTCTTTGAATGCACAGTCACATCACAGTAAAATTTTCAGCCCTTCAAATTACAACCACAATTAGCAGGGACAATCAGTTTGAATCCACCAGAGGGATGACTTTAATGGATTAATTTCCTGTGATGCAGTCCCTGATGCAGACTTAAGCTCTATATATAGTCATTATTAATCCATCATTCCTAGAACTAGACAGAGATAGATCATTTCTTTTGTTCATTGACAAAAACCTTGCTTCATTACAGTGGGACTCAGCATAAATATGACATAATTAAATTTCTTTCACGTTTTCCCCCTTAAAAGGAATTATTTTTAGTCTTTACATGTACTTCATTGCAATTACCAGAAATCCTTGAACAATTTATCCTCTTCAATAAATTTTATTTACCAATTTCACTGTAAATGAGTATACCAAGAATTTTAGATGCATTGGAAAAGTTTCAAAGTATAAATACAGTGATTGAAAAGAGTACATATGGCCTGTTCTGAACATCACATGTTTATGCTCAAATTTGTTTAAAAAAATAATGTGATAATTTTTAAAATTTTGATTATGATTATTAAATATTTTTGTCAAGAATATTTGATACTTACATGCAACTAAAAATAATTGGTAAATTTAATGACTGAAACTTAAATTTCCAAACATAAAGCCATGAGAGTAATTTAAGTGTATTTAGCTATTACAGTCAAAATTATTTACAAAAAAAACAAAAAAAAAAAAACAACAAAAAACAATGAAGTGAAATAGTAGCTACAATGTAGCTCCTGCATGGGCTTAAATTGGCTTTAGTCAGACAGGCATCATTTTCTGATTTTCTTGTTTAAAAAACTTTAAATTACATTGTAAAACTGTACTTTTTTATTAGGCTGAGCATCTCATCCCACATGTCTCATAATGACTCCATTGATGCCTTCCCAGTCATCAGTATGGACTAGATCTATATCTTAAAATTCTCAATACAAACTGAGAACATCAAGTGACAGAAACATTCAATACAAATAAAAAAGAAAAAAAAAACATTAAAGTAAATGAAATCATGGGGGTAATGGCAGATAATTGAGAATAAATTACATGAAGTAAATGGTTCCTAAGATAGCAAAATGCCTGTTAACAAAGCATCAGAGGTTACTATTGCGTAATGGAAATTTTAAGGACACTAGTAGGGTTGAGCTTAATTGTTGCAATTTGCACATACCTGTAAAATCTATCATTAGAGCATGTTGTTAATTTACAATTTTCTTTGTTGTTATCTGTACAATCCTTTTTTTTAATTTTGACATACAGTGAGATGTCATTAACAACACTGAACAATTTTAAATGAGTTTGTGAAACAGTAATGTGCTTTTCAAAAGTACATCAAACTCCAAGGTCAAGCCAGGAGATAAAAAATGTTAGTAATCAAAGACAGTCTTGTCACAAGACACAGGATAAAGTTTTTGCACAGAGACAGATGGACAGACCAAAAACTGTATGCCACCCGCTGGGTTTTCAAAGCAGCCGTATTATTCAGTAGACTTAGTTGACATTATTTCATGTTCACTAGAGTTGCTGTAGAAGAATCTGCATAAACTATGGAAAATGGAACACAGATATTCATTTTAATAAAAATTAATGGACTTATTAGTGGACACTTATTGACTTTGAGAGGAAAGGGAAGTATTCCTTTCATTAGATCTCCTTTTGATTTACATGTGACAAAATGATAAAATGATAACCACTATATAAACCACTCAAGGTGCCAATATTACAAGGGCACTGCAAAGCAAAGCATCCCCTCACAAAATAGCATATCTTTAAATCAATGCAGCATTCAACATCAAATTCAGTGCGAATTACATCATTTCCATTATGCACACAAGGACAAACTAACCCACCTATACAAGCCTGTTTAACCTTGTTGCAAGAGGCTAACAATTCAAACTAAAGTACTCTCAGATTCTGAGATAAAATATGAAAGATATATGGACATACTTTTAGGTGACCTAAAATAGTCATAAATGATCAATGCACTGACATCTTTGAGTTTCAATCAAACCAAAGTTATCTTGCAAAAAAAGCCTATTGTTTAATATCAATTTCTGTCAAATAACTTATGATGAACAAATAACACAATTAAAAGTAAAATCAATGAAGTGTAATAAAATATTTTGACCCATACCAGTAGAAATATAGCCCCCCTAAAACAACTATAACCTGTCATGTTAGATTTACAGCCTCCTAATTTCCGAGATTCTACGATAACTATCCTTTATAATTTATTGTGTTTTCCTCTTTCATCTGAAAATATTTTTTTCCAAACTCTAGATAGATATCAGGAAACAAGATCACAATTTGAATATTATTCAATTACAGTCTATGAATAGCTTCTCTGTGAAATCATACCATTATGAGATTGTTCAATCTCAATCAGTTGGTCAAGAAGGTAATTGTGGATTATCGCTCAACAGGGACCAGGGTTTAGAAATACCAATAAGGTATTTTGAGCATTATGTTTCGTAACATTCAGTTAATAGATAAAATCACAATTCCAAAGATTCAATCAAGGAGATATCTGAGGGTAGTTTTTGTTACTATTTATATTATTAACCCCTTCCATGGCACATACGCATTTCTACGCATCTGACTTGAAAAACGAGTATAGTGTGAACAAACATTCATAACGTCGTTAATACTGCAAATATCAGAAAAATTCTTGCACCGTTAGAAAGAGAAAATAATTATGATAAAATACTATACATAAATTTTTTTATTGGTTATACCAGTATTTTGATGGCTTGAGTTAAACTTTGTGCACTTTTTGGGCGATTTTGCCATTATCGAAATCAATGCGGTCGTAACACGCAATATGTAAAAATGCTAAATTCTGGCGAATACCTCCCATCCCTACCCCATTTCTCTAAAATACTTTTAATTGGATTTTATAAAAATGTACAACATGCTAATAATTTTCAACAAAACAATAAAATATTTTTAAATATATTTACCTAAGAAAAAAAAAACAAATGAAACTCTGCATTCTTGAATAAATGACAATTCCAGCATGATTACTGTGTATTTCGTTGCCATGGCAACTGAAATTATATTCTTATAATCATTTTCAGAAACTACACTATACCTGCTTTTAGAATATATATACATTGGTATATACAAAAATTACAAGAAATACCTGAAAAAATGCATTGAAATCTTAATATCAATTTGTCTAAAAATGCTTAAAATCTTCGCCATGGAAGGGGTTAAAGGCATGAAATTCCACTATAAGACTATGTAAAATATTTGTTAAAATTAAACCGTTTCAAATTTTGCAGTGAAAATATAATGCCATTTATCAAAGTTTATCATTCTGATTCAAACTTAAGATATAATATCTTATAATAATAATTATCAAGTGTTTTGTGTATGTTTTGAACAAAAATCATTGGTCAAACAACAATATATAACTAGAACTGTCCAAACGGGACAAAATACCCCCCGCTGGATTTTTCAGAAGTAAGTTTTTCCATAATAAAGATATGTATCAAACACAAATTATGAAATTTTTATTCCAGTGACCTTGAACTTCCCTAAATGACCTTGGGTCAAGGTCATGACACACCCTTTGGTCATGGGCAATCTTTCAGTGAAATGAGAACCTACCAAGTTTATCCATAGAAAGATATGGATCTCTCACTTGAATTATGAAATTTTTCTTCCAGTGACCTTGAACTTCCCCAAATGACCTTGGGTCAAGGTCATGACACACCCTTGGTCATGGGCAATCTTTGTGTGAAATGAGAATCTAAAAGTTTATCCATAAGTAAAGATATGGACCGTTTTTTTCTACGAAGCTGATATATATATTAAGTGACCTTGAACTTCCCCAAATGACCTTGGGTCAAGGTCATACACACCCTTGGGTCATGGAATCTTTGTGTGAATTGAGAACCTACCAAGTTTATCCATGTAAAGATATATACCGGACAGGAATTTTGAAAATTTTCTTCCAGTGACCTTGAACTTTCCAAAATGACCTTGGGTCAAGGTCATGACACATCCTTGGGTCATGGGCAATCTTTGTGTGAAATGAGAACCTACCAAGTTTATCCATAAAAGATGTATAAAACATGATTTTCGAAAATTTTCTTCCAGTGACCTTGAACTTTCCCAAATGACCTTGGGTCAAGGTCATGACATACCCTTGGGTCATGGGCAATCTTTGTGTGAAATGAGAACCTACCAAGTTTATCAATAAGAAAGATATGGACCGGACACGAATTATGAAATTTTTCTTCCAGTGACCTTGAACTTCCCCAAATGACCTTGGGTCAATCATGACACACCCTTAGGTCATGAGCAATCTTAGTGTGGAGTAGTAGATTCATAATGTCCCTCTGTAAGAAAGATATGGACCGGACACGATTGCACAGACATCGGACGGACGGAACAGACAGACGGACAGACGGACAAGGTGATTCCTATATACCCCCCCAAACTTCGTTTGCGGGGGGTATAAAAACAACATATATAAACATGCAAGTAGCATTTTTTTTCAAGAGTGAATCCACAAAACATTTGTGCAAAAATGTATAGATTGTTGTCACTCAAACAAAAATGCTTTTTGCATTATTCAACCATAATAATTTTTTTTTTGTTAGAGCCTCCTTCATTTATAACTTTTATGTTGTAAAGATTTTTTTATGTACATTTCCTTAAATTTGTTGTTCAAAGAGGAAAATTTGCTAGTTGGACCTCCAAGATGGCAGCCATGGGTAATAACTCACAGAGAAAATATTAATCTCTCACCAGAGAGCATTCTATGCTCCGCTCCAACACCTGTTATTGTCTAAATTACAAGAATCTTGTAAAACAAAAGTAAATTATATATTTTCACCAACTTAGTGATTTTTTACAAAGCAATTGGAAAATATCAATCGGTAAAACTTAATTTGTTTTTTTCTAAAGCTGGATATATATTAAAATAACTTCAATAAATGCAGAACTATCTTGTTTGATTTTTAACACTACTTTCATTTTGAAATCAAGGAGACAAAGTTAGAAGATACATGTATTTACTACCAAAGAGCTTTAAACATGTAACATCTTTGGCATATATAACATACAAAACAATCAATGTTTAAACATTTTTGTTTGCCATTTAATGTTGTAACAACCCAAACTACTTTTTAGAGGACAACAGAGGTGTAAGTGAAGCCTGCGGCGTGCACCCTCTGGTGAGAGATTGGGAAAATATGTCATATAGGAAAACTATCTATATATTTATATTTACATTTCCAATGACTTTATCCGAGATAAAATTACAAATAGTTAATGTACTTTATTTCCCCATCAATGTATTGGTTCATCAATAGGTGCGGTTAAAAAAATCACGTGCAGGGCGGGACAAATAGCTAGACAGAAGTAGGGCTTGGAGAACCTGGATTGGCGGAATCAAAAGCAAGTAAATATAACGAATAACTGTCAGGTTTCTCAATTTCATGACGATGATCAATCAAATTGGCTTTTGTGATAATTTTATGCATAAACCCCTTTGGCTTTTATGCAAATTATCATGCAAGCCAATAGATTGATCACATCATGAAATCAAAAAATAAGGTAGTTATTCCTTAAATATATCAATTTATGTACAATATCTACCCAGAATAACAAAATAAAGTAAATCAACAATTGTACAATAAAACACAATTTAAACAGATTCACGCAAAAATAAAAAAGACATTAAAAATTCACTGAATCATTTACTTACATATTTGGCTAAAAATGACCTTTTGTCTTCGTGTTGACCTTTGGCTCTCTCTTGTTCTTCTCGCTTTAATTTTTCTATGTAACTTTGCGTATCAGGCCTGTAAAAAACATTTAATACCGTCATCAAAATGTATTAACAAAAATGTTTCAAAAACATGTATGACTACCAATTTGGCAACCTTGACAAAAGGCCAATGGACCTAAAAGCTCACCTGGATCACACTGCCCTTGCTTATTATGAGTGAAAAAAATTTATAATATTTAAGAAATGAATGATATATTTTTTTTCTTTGACTGATGTATTAAAGAAAAAAATTGGACAGAAAACATCATCAATGCACATAGCATAGGTTCTGAATATATTTCAATATTTAATGAGCTAATACTTTATAACCTGAGAGCTATTACCAAGCACACAATCTACAATGGTTGACTTACGTGGGCCCCAGCAGTGTGTGAGACACCTCTACACTGGTGTTCCACTCCTGTAGTGAGAAGCTGTCAACACCACTACACAGCGTCAAGGGCGTTTCCACAGAGATACCCATCACCTCACCGGATTGGTCAAAGTGAATCCAGATGTGATCAGACAAATTGGAGGCCAAGATTCCACACTGTACACAGACAAAAGTGTGAAAGAGTGTAAAGTTGACAAAATATAAATGCATAAGATTTCCTGATGGAATGTAGAAACTGTAATGCCTTTAAAAATTTGATCCATGACATATATGTAATTATTTTTCATGTATGTATTCAAATATGTTTTAATGTGCTGAATGCCTTAATTATCTACATGTAGTACAAGAAAATTCATTTACATTTACAGATGGCTGGGAATAAACTTTTTTCCCAGTTTGTTAAAAAGCTTTGTTTTCAGGACGTGATATACTAATTTAGAAAATTACTAATTAACATTCCTTTTAAAGTTTTCAAAAATCATTTTTTCGGATGTATTTAAAAATGACTTTAAAGAGAAATACCTAAATGACTCATTTTCAACTTGGATATTACCAGTACAATTCTCAATAAGAGGCCCTTGGACCACAACGCTCATCTGAATAGCTTTGGCTTTACTTATCCCAAGATATTTCCAGATAATTTTCACCTTTTCTGGCCCAGTGGTTCTGGAGAAGAAGATTTTGAATTTTTTTCCCTATATTTCAAGTTAAAAATTGAATTCCTAACAGTGACCCCATCCCACCCATCCACGGTCACGATTTAAGCAATTCTGAATCTACATTACCCCAGGATGCTTCCACATAAGTTTCACCTTTTCTGGTACAGTGGTTCTGGAGAAGAAGATTCTTCCTTTATATTTCAAAATTAATTTACTTAATTAACTTTGATTCCCTATTGTGGTCCCACCCAACCCTTGTGGGTCATGATTTGAACAATTTAGAATTAACAATGCTCCAGGATGCTTCAACATAAGTTTAAGTTTTTCTGGCCAAGTGGTTCTTTAGAAGATTTTTTAATGACCCCACCCTATTTTTGTCTTTTCTTGATTATCTCCCCTTGTAAGGGGGCTTGGCCTTTCATTTTAAAAATTTAAACCTCTCATTTTAACAATTTAAATTCCCCTTTACCCAAGGATGCTTTTTTCCCAATTTTGGTTGAAATTTCTGGGTGGGTCTGGAAAAGTTGAAAATGTGAAAGTTTACAAATGGATCCACAGCTAGACCTGCTAGACAGAGACAGGGAGCAGACAAACAGAACATGGACAAAATGTGATCAAAAAAGCTCAGGTGAGTTAAAAAAAAAAAACCTAAACATAGCTCAAATTTGAGAAAAAAAAAAACACTGCATGTTGAAAATTTGCTGATCCTCTCTCATCAAAAATTTGAATTCAAAATAGTATTTTTGAACTTGACCTTCATGGTGAAAATCCTAATATCAGTTTGAAAAATAGCTAAAACATGACAAGAGATGTATTTGTGTGTATTTAAAGCATTCTCTAGAAATGGAATGATGACATAGAATAAGTGTATAACTAACCGCTGGTGCGTAGGAAGTGACATACTCTTCACCAGATGACCCTGATCCTGTCTGCAGCCTCACTCTGTAAATGTCATTGTTCCTGGCTAATTTCTAAAAAAAAATATTTAGTAATGTTATAAAGATTCCAGGACCTATAGAATGAAGAATTAAGGTGCTAAACTGCTTGCATCTATAGCTTTATCTTTTAGAAAAGAAAACAAGGACTGTCTTATTACAAATTCTAACTCCTCCATATATTTGGACAAAAAATGCTTTACAGATGCCATTTATACTGTTACTATAATCGTAAATTTACTGATACATGTATAGATCAGAAATACCTTCAGCTTGTCTAGTTCACTACCAGTTAATGGAGCATTCTGAGAGAAAAAGGCTTTGTTTCCCTTCACTGATTTCAAAATTACAGTTCCTTTCTTGGAAAATGTAGGATTTAAACCTGAAATGTATACATGTATTAGATGTCTGAAAGTACTTACACATGTTCTTCTGCATAAATTAAACCTTTGGTACAAGTAACTACATTTGTAGTGTTTTTTTTTTTTAATCAATCAAATTAATATAGTCAAACCTCATTATCTCACACTGGGTGGAGCTGGAAAAAACTTCAAGATATTCATGTACTTGAGATATCAAGGTTGAAATACATAAAGAAAATGTTTTTTTGGATTTTTATTTACTTATATTTATCATGTTTATGGAGTTCAAGACATTGTAAAAATTAAATCCCTACCCAAATCAAAACTATGTTCAAGGATTAATGTTCTTGATCCACCTTCAAACTCATCATCTGCCTACAAAATAGAATAATTTATTTTATTTTTTTTTTACAATTAATCATAATACCATGAATACTGCAGATTCTGATATTTCTCCATTTTTGCTGAACATACATCAAAACAGACATAACATATGTTTTACATTTTAAGATGATCAATGATAACAATGGGTAACATATACCAGTACATTGAAAGTTTAGATTTTTCTGTCGATGAGATAGACTTTGTTGGAAAAAAATTTCTCTGCCATCATTCATCTCTATCAGGTGACATGATGAACAATACATACAACACTAGTCATTTCATAATGCCTAAATGGAATGTAGTAAGAAAGTAGCAGACAGTATATAATGAAATTTTACTGCCTCGCCATCAAGTTAGCATTTCTAGCGATGCGGCAGTCTCCATCTGATTCTGTCAAGTGAAGAAATGGCAGATAAAGCTGCTCAGTTGGTAAACCACCATTTCAGTCTGAGCCAACGGGGCTTTGATTCAAATCCTGGTCTGGTCCATCACATTTTTTATTTTGGTAACAGAGCCATTATACTGACAAGTAAATCTTGTCTCATGTTAATTATTATGAAAAAAAGCTCTTTCTCCAGTTGATTGTGTGATAATGCCCAACATTGGTGCCAGGCACATTAATCATGTTGATAGAAGAAGAAGAAGATTGAGCAGATCAAGGATGGTTTTGTAGCCATAGGCACAGGGACAATATGACTAGTATATATTGTAAGTATATAATTTTCAACCTAAATTGAAATGATTTTTGGTTCTAAAACCCAAATACAAGCCTGTACCAATGCTGAAATACAGATGCAAACAAAATAAAACTGTTCAAGGAGACACGAACAAGCCCATTTCTATAATATGATAGTGTCTTGGGTTATTAAATTTGAGCAAAGTGAAGCAGATTTTATTCTTAACAGCATCTGCATCTTTGTCAGCAAAATACTTACCCCCACACAGCATAATCCGATTAAAACTAACAGCAGAACCGAAGTTCTTGCCTGTACCATGGGCGCAGACATCTTTACTTTCAATTTGACCTTATTTAGAACCAATCGAAATGCGTGTAAGAAATGTGGCCAATATTTTTAGCTAATCACAGATCATGATACGAAATATCGTAGGCTTGTGTATAAAAATGGCAGCAAGTGTTCATAGAGTGAGCGGATAAACAGCATGACTCTCTTATTTATTATCTTCTTGACGATGTTATCCCTAATGTCAGCTGCTATGTCTTTCAAAAGTCAACCACAGCATTATGAAAACCTCGACGACGATGACGTCATATTCTATTCTGTGTTATATTCAGTTGTAACTGTGATTTTCGCGATGGCAGTGCTGTCTAAATTTTTGACAAATGAGTTTAGGATGGGATTCAGATCAGTGTTGAGTCTTCTTGTATTATTCCTAGGAGAACCTTTGTGTCAGTTTTTGATTAAGGGACCGGGAGGAGTGATAACTTTTGCTGGTTGCTGTTTGTTGATTTATTCAGTTCTGCCAGCGAGCCACCTCCCAGTGGGAAACAAGGCAGTGCTAGTGACAGGTAATACACTGTGTCTCCAGTCATGTCCTCTAAACACATCGGAAATAGGCCTGAAATGCATTAGAAAGATTGATATGATTAATTAATAATTAAGGAGTTATATAAAGTGTATCTCAGTATATTTGTATTCTTTCCAATTTCTAAGGGGACCAGATGTTCTAAATATATGGGACATAATCTAACTGTGATCATGATAGTTAGAATAATCTGTGTCTTGGTACAAGCCCTCATCACAGTTAGAATTTGTCCCTTATACTTGCAATGTAGCAAATCGGAGTATATCCGCTCCAAAATGAATTTGAAGAATACAAAAGCGGTTCCACTAAAAAACACTAAAATAACTACCAAATCAATCAAAACAAACCTTTTAGAGATTGCATATGCCTTTTATCCCAAAAATAATTCATTTAAAGAAAAAATTCAACTAATCTTATCAATATTTTTTCTCGCTACAAATTAACTAGCCTTGTTTACATTTGGAACTCTCTGGATTGTTCGTAGTAAATGGACTGAGTACGAGTTGTCATCCGTGATTCTTTAGCTTATCGCTAATAAATAGAATGAATTCTATCGTTAAACCAGGTCCTTAGGACAATATCATTTTAATGATAGAACATTCTATCTATGGTTATGTCAGAGGGCTTATCCTGAAACACACATGTCAGTTTATTCTAACAATTTATCTTTTGGAAATTAAAAGTTGTGCTACCAACTTTAAAACCATACTTTAATTTGTTTATCTGAGATAATTTTCTTCACATTTTGCATCGCTTTCCTTTTATGAGAGTGAAGGTAGTGCAAAAATAGAGATAAGAATATTTCTTTATCATGCATTTCAGTGTTTGAATATAATATTATCATGATGGGTATGTCTTTTAACCACAGTGAACCACAATGAACCACAAGGAACCACAATGAAACCACAAGGAACCACAATGAAACCACAAGGAACCACAATGAAACCACAAGGACATCTTAATTTTAATGAATCTATATATGGTTTACCGTATAATCCCTATTTACCGCCCCGGGCGCTTAGAAAATTGCAAAAAGGGGGCGGTTATTTTGGTGTTCTCTTTATGATATTTAATTTCATATTTTTAATCGTTTCAAAATAAAAATAAATACAAGAAACAAATAAGATAAAGTTTAACTTTACTTTAAGTGAAGATACTCCACCAAAATTATGCTAAATTGTTCATTTTCCACCAAGAAATTGGATGATACACAAATTTCATTTCCACTTTCCTCATTTTTTTTGAAAGGATTCTAGTTTATTTTAATCACATACAGGGGGGCATTTAAAATATACAAACAATAAAAAAAGACCTTAAAACGCTTATAGGGGTAGGGGCGGTTAATAGGGATTATACGGTATATGCATTTTTTAGTTATCTGAGTCACACAGGTGACCTATTTCTATCTGTTATTGTCCGACGTTGTGCTTCTTGTCCGTCTGTTTCCTAATCTTTAGAACAATTTCAGCTCCTTTTCTTGAACAGCTTATCCAATTTCAACCAATTTTAGCAGGGTAAAGGGGAGCAAAACTTCTGGATTTCAAAATCTCTTACCCACAGGGGATTAACAGCCAGATGTACTCAACAATCTACATTAACACCCCTTACCCATTGCACAATACCACAAAGAAACACATTAGCACCCACAAGGAACCCAGTGACACCCAAAGATATCCTAAGTGTGATAAAATTAGCAAATGATTAAAAAATTATCAAACATACACCTACTCAAAGTAAGCAACCAGTATTGCATGATTTAAAAAGTGATTATGGCTAGTTGAAGATGTTAGAGTATATCTGGTTGATAATGACCAATTAGCCATATATGTGCAGAATATTTTTCCTTTGTTTTATCTGCATTATTAAAAATTTATAATATACAATTAATAATTTCTAACATAATAGGAATAATTTTTTAATGCTCAAAGACTTGATGTACCTGGAGTATATGGGTTTTTACTCTGAATAACAAAGATCGCTTATGATGTAGTAACTGTTATTTAGGTTAGATACCTTATTTCCCATGCTGGATGCACACAGATCAAGCTATTTTGTGCATGAGTGATTGATTCAGGCCAGTTCTAAAATACCTAACGTTGTTAATTCTATCATTCTATATTCTGACAAATAAACGATAGTAAATATATTTGGTGAGACAAGGAAAAATTTGACAAATTTCACCTAAAAAATTTATATCTAGCCATATCTGAATTTTTACATCATAGACAGACCCCCCACATATGATTATATTTTCTGAATACATAAATGCTTATTAAATATTAAGGTAGTCCGATCCTCAGCTTCATAGAATCAACAGTTAAATAATTGAAAATACTCAATATTGGTTGAAACTGGATCCATAAGCTGTTCAAGAAAAGGAGCTGATTAGGAAACAGACGGACAGGAAGCACAACGTCGGACAATAACAGATAGAAATAGGTCACCTGTGTGACTCAGATGACTAAAAATGCATATAAACAATATATAGATTCATTAAAATTAAATTAAGATGTCCTTGTGGTTCCTTGTGGTTTCATTGTGGTTCCTTGTGGTTCATTGTGGTTCCTTGTGGTTCATTGTGGTTCCTTCACTTCCTTGTGGTTCATTGTGGTTAAAAGACATACCCTTATCATGATTATAAAAGTGTGGTTTTATCCATATTAGTTAGATATAATAGGTTTATACCTGTAATACTCTCTAACCCAACACTCGTGCAGTCCATATCCTTTCACTATAAATCATGGCGAATTCTGACCATTATTTTTCAATGCCAATCTTACTGTTTAACTTTGCTTGTACTAAAATTTAAGTCTTGATGATCATGTTGATAGGCTTGTGGGGTTGACTACTTTCGATATAGCCTTCATTTTTAATATCAACTTCATGGTTTATAAAGCCAGTACACTGTACTATAAAACCAGTTTCTTTAGAGCTCAGCAGATGAGAATCATTGTACATATACAATAGTTTTCCTATTAATGTCAAGGTTGGGTTGGTAAAGGAAGGTTTAACATAAACATGATAAACTGAACATATTTTATTATCTGTACCACATATTTCATTTCCGTGTGTGTACTTCCTAGATCTTATACAATGTTATAAATCTGAGTAGATACTTCTGGTAGTAGCAAGGAAATACTTGTACTTTCACAAATATTGCATCCTGTGTTGTATCACAAACTGTAAATGAAAAACATTAAAACATTGAATGATGGTCATTAGTCTCAATGACATCATTGCATGATGAAATTCAGACAGAGACAGAGTTTGTCTAGTCTCATGTATCTTTTGTCTTTCCTGAAATTGTCTTTCTCTAGATAAAAACTATGATATAAAATGTAACAATGCAGTTAAACATTAGCATTGATGTTTCCTTGTATTTCCAAGGTTTTAGAACTGAAATTAGGACTTTTTCTGGGTTTTTCAGTCAAAATAATTATGTCAACTAGTGTATGCAAATGACCCTTTGAACGTTGAATGGGCTACATTTGCACATTTACGGTTCATATAAAGAATATATTTTGCCTGAGCAGTATAGTATGATTCTGTCTACCATAATCCAGGCAACCATATTAATGATTCTTGTATATTTTGATTGCCGTGATTGATTTACCTTTTAATTTTTTAATTTTTATGTTGTGAATCTGGATTTGGTCATTCTGTGTGTGTGGGTTTTTCATATATAGGTTGTGAATCTGGATTTGGTCATTCTGTGTGTGTGGGTTTTTCATAGGTTGTGACTCTGGATTTGGTCATCCTGTTCTTTTTTTTTTTTTTCTTTTTTTTTTTTTAGGTTAATTGTGATGCTGGATTTGGTCATCCCGTGTTTTTTTTTTTCATTTAATTTTATTTTTTAGGTTGTGACTCTGGATATGGTCATCCCATGTTTTTTTTGTTATTTTTGGATTTGGTTATCCTGTAATTTTTTTTTATTTTTTAGGTTGTGACTCTGGATTTGGTCATCCTGTGGGGTTTTTAAAATTATTTATCAGGTTGTGACACTGGATCCTGTGGGTCTTTTTATTTTATAGATTGTGACTCTGGATTCGATCATGCAGTACATTTTTTTTTTTTTTTTTTTAATTTTTTTTTTTTTTTTTTATTTTTTAGGTTGTGACTCTGGATTTGGTCATGCTGTGGTTAGGAAACTGGACAGTATTGGGATGAGGGTTTATGCTGCTTGTTTGGATGCCAACGGTCCTGGTGCTATTTCACTCAGAAACAACTGTTCAGATAGGTAAATTTCTGAGTGGCAAACTCAATTCTCAGCTAACTGAGAAATAATTATTATTTATGGGCTGGGGGGGGGGTCAACTTTGTGGATCCTTCAATTAGAATTTTGTCATAGGTGAAAATTAAGCCACATAATTTACAAAAAATTAACTCTTATGAAATACAGTGATTCCAAAGATGTCTTTAAGATGAATATTAAGTTGTGCAATTAATTAACGAAACAACCCTCAGAAATTGTTTAAAACACTGACTGATTTCTCATTCATGATATTTATAACAAATAGCCAGGGAAAATGTTTTACCAATTTACAATACACAGACTTGAGACTATAAATGAGGAAGAATTGTTTGTATCAAGCAAATGAAGATACAGAGTAAACAGTTAATGAGCAGTTTGCTTGGTGATGCAGTCTGATCATGTCGAGTGATATTTGTTGCTTAAAACTGATATTAAACATTTTTCTTTTTCAGTGTTCAAATTCTCCAGCTTGATGTCACGAACAAAAAAGAGATGGAAAGTGTTGTTAGCTTTATAAATGACACAGTGGGCTCAGAAGGTACTACTATAATAGTGTTTTAATTTATAAACAAAAAAAGTTAGTATATTATACATATATATTGAGACTTAATAATAGGTGGAATAAAACTAAATTCCTTTGGTAATTATAAATCTGAACATATCACACACGTTCATTTTAATTTTTCTGAAGTATGATATTGTTTAAACCGTAGTATAGTTTTAGCTATAGATTTAATTTTGAAATCAAACAAGAATATGATGGCCTCCCATAACTTGCCAAATATGTAATTCTTAGTTATCCTTCTTTGCATAGTTTTCTTTCGAGCATCATCCATGCAAATAGTGAATTTTACCATAATCTTTACCCTTTTCTTAGGACTCTGGGGTGTGGTCAACAATGCTGGTGTGTGGTATTTTTCTGAGTTAGAAATGACATCAGACACCTTGCTCAGGAAAGTCTTGGAGACAAATGTCCTTGGAGCCATTGCACTGACAAGGTCACTTCTTCCTCAAATAAGACAGGCTAAGGGGAGAATAGTTCATGTATCAAGTTTATTAGGTATGTACAAATTCAATGTACAATGTATATGTACTTCAAATTTCATTTTGTTTTATTGAAAAAAAATTAAAAAAAATGTTTGTATGGTATTCCATCAGATGCAGATGTATATGAACTTAAAATTTTTAAATTTATGAATTCATTTAAAAAAAAATACTGCATGTTTAGGAAGAATAACCATGGAGGGTAATGGAGCTTATGCCATTTCTAAACATGCTTTAGTGGCATTCTCTGACACATTAAGACAGGAAATGAAGAAGTGGGGAGTCAAAGTGTCCATCATTGAGCCAACAGGATTCATGACAGGTACAGTGGAAGAACTTGTATCGAACAAAGCATAGTTTTAGAGGAAAATGTTGAGAATAGAGTTCAGCTGTCTTCATCTTTACAACAAATGATTACTGCTCTGTCTTGGTTTGTCCAATGTACTGGATACTACTTTGGACTTATATATTCATAAATGCACCATTGGTTGGATTGATAAAAAATTGAAATATTTGCAGATTGGCAAATATGTCACAACAGTTTGATTATTTATTCCAGTGTATATTGGTTTGTTCATGCAGTACCAATTACATTAGACACAGGGCTTTAAGTGGCATTTAGAAGAATATTTGTTCATACTAAGAAACCAAAACAATATACTTTCTTGAATGACATTGCTCACCTCCAAATTCACTTATATTTCAGATTCCATGAAAGAGCACAACATTATTCGTAAAAAGGAGGAAATATGGAAAACCTTGGAAAATGATGAAATTCGAAACACCTATGGTAGACAGTACTTAGATAGTATTTATAACAGTATCATACTTAGTTCCCATCGTTTCCCAACTGATCTGACCCCTGTAACTAGAGCCGTTAGGAGTGCACTGTTATCTAAGCGGCCCAGGGCGAGGTATCCCTGTGGGACTGGGGGCGAGTTCCTGATGACTCTGTATCCTTTGTTACCTGTGTGGATGGCTGATTCCATGTGCTCGTCCCTTGGTGTGATGCCTAGGACGATTCGCCCAGTGGCCCTGGAACAATAGCCATCCCAGCTTTTATCTGAGTCAACACTGCCATTCATGCCAATCTGTCACTAACTCTTATTTTATTGGCCATTTTCAACCAACTGGTGTCAGAAGTAGCTTTCATCAACATTGAAATATTTACCTATTAAGGAATCATACTTTTCCTTGTATGAAAGGTTACTGTGCAATCTTGAAAGGAAGATTACTCTATTTTTGCCTTGATTAGTAGTTACATAATCATATGTAGCATTTTTCTAATAATGTATTATTTTGTGACTAAAATGTGAAAAAGCATTAATTTTTCACTGACCAGGAATATTCTGTTGTTAATTTTGCTGGATGACGGCACTGTTGAGGATAATTGAATTTTCATTACATATATAGTGGAACATCTGATCAATCAAAATGGATACAAAATTTTCCTGTACAGTTGTCAAAAATTTAGTCTTAAGAATTACTTCTTTGTTGAACTACACTTTTATGTAAACAAAGTATTATATAATTTTTCATGTGTTACATCTTCTTGTATGTATAGAACTGCACTTTAATAGAAGATAATGCCATTAAATATACATATAGTCCCAGGTGTAGATTTTTTGTTGTTGTAAATTAATTCACTTTGTGTAGTGGGATAATTTTTTTTTATTTCATCTATTCAGTAAGTACTTTTTTCCCAAACTGCGATTTTTTTTTAAAACAAAAAAAGTATGCCAACATTTAATGGTTAAGACTGGTAAAAATGATGGGTTACAAGCATGCATGTGTAAATACAAGAATTTTTTTTAAAGATGTGCTGCTTAAAATTCTCAGAATTTATTTATGCAAAAAAATAGTATTATTTGTGTCTGTCGTGTATAATTTTTCAGAAAATTTCATTTTTGTAAAAAATTAGATAATATTGACATGACTGAGTTGCAACATTAAGATGCTTTGGATTTTATGTGCATAATCACCCATGTAGAAGACTTAGATATTGTTTTTCCTCTACTTTTCAATTGTTAATATTGATTATATCTGTCGAAATTTACTTGCATATACTGTAGATCACTAAATTTTCGCGACACCTTATTTTCGCGAGAAAGCCATTGACTCTTGATAAGCGAGACAAAAATTTTCACAAATTGTGGTTATTGCTTTATATAATCTTAAGGAATACAATTATATGCGAGAACTTATTTTTCGCGAGCACACTGTCTCGCGTAATTACGCGAAAATAAAGTTCTCGCGAATAAAAAGTGATTTAATAAGTAATAATCTGAATAAACATGTAAACTAAGAGAACACTACAAAGAGTTCACTGTTAGTAATAAAGCAACCCATTTTTATGTTTTTCTTTGCATTGCATATTGAAATGGTCTGTAAATTCTTGAACAAGTACCAAAATTTAGCTATCTTTCATATCTTTAATTACCTTTATTATAGACTTATTCAATTGAAAGAACTTTCTTGTATCTGAATCTTTTATTCGCTTTTCACTACATGCTTAATGTTTATGTTATTATGAACAACTATTTTGATCAAATATTCTTTTGAACAAAAACTTCTTTTTCTTGTTCTTTTTAATTGTTATGATAACGTGTGAAATTTGTTGTGCTTATATATCTTTATAACTCTTTACATAGTTTCAAATACAGATTCCTTATCTGCATGGTCCTGAAAGTTATATTCAGAACCAAGCTTTGCAACTTTCCATCATATGGTATTTTTCAAGCATTAATTGATACAGCACATTCTATTCTGTTGTTTATATACATCATTATTCTTTCCAATTTAAAATGTAGTAAATACTGATAATTTTATAGCAGCAGTTGTTTGAAATATTTTTTGTATGTTAATTATTATTAAATTTTATTTCTGAACCACGAGCACTTGTTTCGGTAATAAATTTTTAATCCATAGTATAATAATAACACAATAACATAATATAATGATAATTTAATATATAAACCAACACAAATGACATTTACAGATTTATTCAAATTGCCTTTTGGTAAATACTCAGTTATTTTCAAATGATAACTTGTGTTATTATTATACTATGGGTTAAAATTTTATTTCCGAAACAAGTGCCTGTGTTCTGAACATTTTATTTTTTATGACTATGAACAAGGTACCAGACATTGACAGTGTATAATCATGATAAATACTACTGTGTCAATGCAAGTCTTAGCTATAGCTGTCTAACATTTTTGAATTGGCATTGTTTTGTTTAAGAAATATTTAGTGCAATGTTACATTACTTAATTAACTAATACATTGAATTATCTTTTAATATCAATGCAAGTTAATTTTTTTTAAGTTACATGTACCATATAGAATTGTGTATGTCTAAGTGCTCTTTGTTGTTGAATTTTTCATGGCTATGGTTCCTTTCATGAAACAACTACTTTCTATTAAAGGAATGAAAATAATCTGCATTTCAAGTTTTAATTTTTAGCTCTACTGGTCAGAGACCAGGAAAGCTTATGCAATAGTAATGCGTCCGGCGTCCGTCCGTCTGTCTGTCTGTCTGTAAACAATTTTTCAAAATGCTACTCCTCCTACAGTTTTGGTCCGATTTCAATATAACTTAGCACACAAGTAGACTACACTAAGATACATAATTCTGTGCATAGGTTTTTGATTTCGATGAACGATGTTGCCATGGTTACTAAAAATAGAAATTTCTATGAAAAACATTCAAAATGCTACTCCTCCTACAGTTTTGGTCCGATTTCAGTATAATTTGGCAAACAAGTAGACTACACTAAGATACATAATTTTGTGCATCGGTTTTTGCTTTCGATGAATGATGTTTCCGTGGTAACTAAAAATAGAAATTTCTGTGAAATTCTTTCAAAATGCTACTCCTCCTATAGTTTTGGTCCAATTTCAGTATAACTTGGCAAACAAGTAGAATACACTAAGATACATAATTTTGTGCATGGGTGATTACTTTCGATGAATGGTGTTGCCATGGTTACTAAAAATAGAAATTTCTGTGTAATTCTTTCAAAATGCTACTCCTCCTACAGTTTTGGTCCGATTTCAATATAACTTGGCACACAAGTAGACTACACTAAGATACATAATTCTGTGCATGGCTGTTTACTTTCGATGAACGGTGTTGACATGGTTACTAAAAATAGAAATTTCTGTGAAATTCTTTCAAAATGCTACTCCTCCTACAGTTTTGGTCCGATTTCAATATAACTTGGCACACAAGTAGACTACACTAAGATACATAATTCTGTGCATCGGTTTTTTCTTTCGATGAATGGTGTTGACATGGTTACTAAAAATAGAAATTTCTGTGGAATTCTTTCAAAATGCTACGTCTCCTACAGTTTTGGTCCGATTTCAATATAACTTGGCACACAAGTAGACTATACTAAGATACAAAATTCTGTGCATCGGTTTTTATTTTGATGAGTGGCAAGGATCATTTTTCTATTTATTGCTATTTTAAAGTCTCAAGTCCCAACTGCTACTTTTCTCTGCCTTTGTTTTAAGTATAAACCAGTAGAGCTACAGTCTCAACAGAGACTTCTGGTTATTTGTTTGAATCAGTACATGTAATTGTACATATTTTGAATGTCATTTTTACTTCACCTTCAAGACAAATCTTATGAAGCAAGTAAAGTAAGCATCCCAGATTAACTTTTTAAAAAGAGCAGTTGAAATTGTCAACAAGAAAATGTCCAACATTTTATTCTCTTAAGAAACAATGATCCCCTATACATGTAGTAAGAAGTGACCTAACCATTGTCTTGCTGACTATGAAATCATTTTGAATGACCTACTGTGGTCAGGCCTTGCCCCCCCCCCCTTCTTCCCTTTCTCCTCACACACATTTTGTGAAAGCTGTCATTACGAGTCTTATCTATTAAGCTTTTCTATGACAAACCCTTCAAAATGTTCTCTATTTTTAAATGTTATACTCTGTTACCTTGACGTTTGACCTACTTTTAGAAAAGTCAACATTGGTGAAACTGCCTAATTTTTGCAAGAGAAAAGTTGGGGGTGCATATTTGACATGTGTGTCACCTGTGACAACTTCACTAGCCAAGGGTTTCTGATATGCTACTCTCCTCATGAACCCTTGGGCCCTACCCTAGCCTTGAGGACCATGATTTAAGATTGAATGTATACCTTAGTGGGAAAATTGAATTTCATTCATTAGTCCATGTTTTCTGAAAAGGTTTCAAATATTCACATTGTATACTATTTTTCATAGTTATTATTCACATTATATACTATTTATCATAGTTATCTCCCTTAAAAAAGAGAATAGCAAATCTATTTGTATATAAAAATGGATTGTCAAGGTCCAAGAACTTGTTGCTAGTTTGAAATGGCCAATTGGTTCTGGAGAAAAGGAAAATTTAAAAAAATAGTTTATGTTTATGTAAATGCACCAGACAAAATTTAGTCAATTGTTTTGGCTCTGGCAAGCTAATAATGCAATTCATATTTAACAGGAATGACCTTTTTTCTCAAATGAAACTATATAGTTAATGTCACTTTTTTAATCTTTGATAATACTTCAACAAGTTTAAACTGAACTTTTCAACATTCAAAATTTCAACAAGTTCAACATTTATGAACTGAACAAAAAAGTGTTCCATTTTAATATTTATTTTATTTCAAACTTAAAATTCATAATTTACATAACAAGTATAGTGTCTACAAGTAACAAAGAAATAGAAATAAAACATCAACCGATCATGATTCAACCTCATCATAGATTTTACCACCATTAAAACATTCTAGAATAGCATTGTTTGCAGGGATTTCCTCACATTTGCCATTTCTTGCTGTTGCTGAAAAAAGATTTTAAAGCATATTATAAACTAGCTGTCAGACAATACCAGATATTCAAACTTTCTTTTGTTTGAAATTCATCAGTTTGGAATCAATCCGTTTAATTTTCACAACTTCAGTGGAAAACATTCTTCACAAATACACAGCAAAATAAATTGTTTGTGACAATAAATATTCATGAGTTAAAGAAGATCACAAATTTTGCGAATATTTCTCTCACGCAAATAAGTAACTTTACAGTACTTTAATGCAACATGTACAATCCGTACAATACACATAACTGAATTGCTTTTCATATAAAACTATTTTGTTTGGAATTTTTAGTATAAATTTAATGTACATTATGATGTACAGTTATAGACTTACAGTGTCCATGAGTATTTTTTTTTGTAGAAGAGACATTTCTTTCTTCAGTTCCGACTGTACAGATGATTGCTGATTATGGTGACATCTCTCCAGCTCCTCAATTCCCTGTTGTCATTACAAACAGACATTGTATTTATCAGATTATAACTCCAGTACATGTACTATTTTGTCTTAACATAATGATTCAAGGGTGAACAATCATATAAACTGACCTTAGTGAACTGTTCATGCAGCTGTTTTATAGTTTTTAGCCTCTGACTTTGTACAACTCTTGCCTGTTGAAACATTTTCTGCTGTTGCTTAAACATTTGCTGTGGAGGAAATAAAATGACAATGTGCATTTATTCTAAAATAAATTTACAGAATCTCCCAAAAACTATTATATACACCATATATTGTAATTTTGTTTCATTTATGAAAATAAATTTGAGAGAGGGTGATGCAAATGATATTTACCAAACATTTAAATAGACATGTACAACTCAGTGTGCAAGTCTTTCTCACTTTAATGTATAAAATGATAAGGACTCATTTGTATTGATAATCGCTTTACTGATATAAAATACAGAATTCTTACATTAAATATAAAACAAAACAAGAGGCCCAAGGGCCTTGAATCGCTCTTCTGATAAATTGTACAATCTATCACTTCTATTAGAAGCCTCCAACTCTATTAGAAACATAAGACCCAAAATGCAGCAACTTACAAAGTTTAATATTATTAATATAATATTTAGCCAGTTAAGACTGAAGATATTATAACATAATTATAAAATACATAAGTAGGTCACAGTGACCTACCTTCTGATTGAAATTTTCTGAGGACTCAAGATACATTAATTGACAAAGACTGATGATTCTGATTAAATAAGTACCTGAGATATTCAAAAGTAGGTCACCATGACCTACTTTTTTGGTCAACATTCTCTGAAACCCCAAGATGCCTCAACTGACAAAGTTTGACAATTGTGTGTCAATAAGTACCAGATATAATTAAATATAGCCATAAAATGTCAAAAGTAGGTCATGGTGACCTACTTTTTGGTCAATGATCTCCGAAAACTCAAGGTGCCTAAACTGACAAAGTTTGATGATTCTAAGCTTATACGTACCTGAGATATTCAAAAGTAGGTCACTGTTACCTATTTTTTGGTCGACAATTTCCGAAAACCCAAGATGCCTCAACGGACAAAGTTTGATGATTCTTAGCCAATAAGTGCCTGAGATACTTAAACATAGCCATAAAATGTCAAAAATAGGTCATTGTGACCTACTTTTTGGCAACACCGTTCATCAAAATCAAAGATGCATCAACTGACAAAGTTTGATGATTTTAGGTCAATAAATACCAGAGATACTTAATTATAGTCACAAAATGTCAAAAGTAGGTCACCATGACCTACTTTTCAGTCTTCACGAAAACTTTTCAAACTAACTGGCCAGTCGGACCAGTGAACTTTCAAACTTTACGGGCCCACCAAAATTTTTACTGGCCCCTTAATTAAATAATAAAATAAATACATTTTCATAACTGTAAATTTATACATGTTTATATTCAACTTTCGAAATAATTTTTCGTCCCTTGTTGCATTTCGGTAAGTTGTTCGTTGGAATTTTGCACATTTTACGTACTAGTTAATAGTTACTAGCTAGTTCCGGTTGTTACGTAATACATCCATGTTCGAAAAGGGTTATCATAATACGATTCAACAACACGTGCTTGTTATTTTTATTTTTTATATTAATGAAATTTATGCAAGTAAGTCTTTTAGTATATATTGACTGTGTATGATTTTAGAATCAACAAGCCTATCAGACTTCTTGAATTTTGATTTTCACTGACCCGACATCAAAATTCACTGGCCTCGGTCTTCGGACCAGTGAGTTTTCGTGAAGACTGACTTTTTGGTCGTCACTCTCCGAAAACCCAAGATGCATGGACTCACAAAGTTTGATGATTCTAAGCCAATAAATACCTAAGATACTTAAATATAGCCATAAAATGTCAAAGTAGGTCATTTGACTCTCTTTTTGGCACATTTTTCAAGGACCCAATTAAGATGCATCTACTGACCAAGTTTGATGATCGTAGGTCTGAAGGTAATCAAAATATGCGTTTTAAACAATTTGAAAACAAATGTCGGCAAAATTCAAAAAGTAGGTCACAGTGACCTACTTTTTCATAAATATGTTTTAAGGTCCCAAGATGCATCAAAGTACAAGATTTGATGATTCTAAACCT